CGGGGTTTATGCAACATCCAAGGCGCACAGTTAATGAAAAACGCACTTTATCCGTTTTTATTTGATTCCTTGACTTTCCTCTATTTCTAAATTCAGTTCATAGAATTTTTTTAAAAAATTTGTTATTTGAAAAACAAAAATATTTCTATTAGAGAAAGCAGCTTCGCCAAAAAAGAAAAAAAAATCAGGAAAAACAAAGGTAGTGAAAAATAGTTAAATTGATGCAAGCAATCTACAAAAACAATCATTTTTTAGGAGTTAATTTTATTTTAGATAAAATATTCATTTACATTTAAGGAACTAGTAATAAAAAATATTAAAATATTACTTATTCAAAGCCAAAATTTCTTTTCAGATCCATAGCTTTTCGCATGTATGATTTCTTATGTAAAACCATGTTTTCACATTTTCTTAAAATTTTACATACATTTGGGGAAAAAATATAAATATCTAAATAACAGCAAGTAATGGAAAAATAATGATCTACTTATATCACACATAATGCATTGTCGATGCCAGTTAATCTGCTAAATATATCAGAACAATATTATTTCTAATGAACAATGAATATTACAAATATTGCTTTTGCTTGATATCTATTGTAACACTTGTTACGAATATTATTTTTGCTTGATATTTATTATATTGATATATATTGAAAATATAAAGTATTTTACTTGTTACATTACCATTGTATTATTATTAATGAAAATAATAAGAAAGTAAAGCTGTGTTGATAAGTTGTATTGAAGAAAATCTTAAACCAGCTTCGATATTTGTTATGGCATAAATATTTTATTCTTTATTAAACTAGATTAATAACTACTTTACCTTAATTTCAATGTTTATGTTCAGAAATCATTTTGTTAAATTTATATAAAACATTAAAATATTTTTTAATCAGTTTAATTACTTTTCGTTCGGAATATTTTAATTAGCAGTTATATTTGTAAATATTTAATTAACTAACATGGAAAAAAGGAAAAAAAATATTGGGAATACATTTTTTATGCTGAATTGTAAAGAGCAATGCATTTTCTTATTATTGTGTTACAGTTGGATGTTAAATTTCTTAAATATATATGTTTTTCATTTCTTATAATTTTCAAGTCATATAACGCATTCAAATAAATCGTCAATCATACAATAACCGATGACTAGTATCAGCTTACTCATATCATCGATGACTAGTATCAGCGTACTCATATCATCGATGACTAGTATCAGCGTTATACGAAAGAAAACAAAATTAATTTTAATTTAACTATGACATAATGTAATAGACATAATATTTAATTTAATACAAGTTTTAATAATTTCTTATAAGTGACATAATGCTTCATTGAACTATGACGTAATAGTAACTAGGGTCAATGCAGTTTAAACAATAATTTTTTGAGTACAACTTCTGAAACAAATTCTAACTTTATCACAGACCCTAGGATTTAACTTTGAAACGAGCACAATATTCAGTACAAAATAATTGTCTTTTTTTCCCCTTTATCTCACTAATACATTTTGATTTTCTTAGGTTTAACATACCTTACTTTCGTATAAATCTACGATTAATATTACAAGAAACCTTTATTGCTAAAATACTACACAACAAGGTTTTGAAAATACTGAAGTAATAAAAGAGGAACTATAGATAAAATAATTAGTTAATTTTCTTCGTCATAAATATTAAGACTTGCTCTAATGATCCTAAAAAAACTAATAGCTTTATTTTTTAAAAATGAATTATTGTAATTGTTTATATCATGATCTATTCCAGAAATTAAAAATAATTTTATAACAGTTAAATTCGATTTTTCTTAACGTCCCTAGTAACTCAATAGCACTTACTTAAAACATTATTAAAATAACAGATTTAAATAAGTGTTTACGACATTTTAATAATTTTTGAAATGCGCAAAAACTGTTCTATTACAATTAAATGCTATTTATTTATTAATACTAAAAAGAAGAAAAAATTATTCAGTTTTTCAAATTTATTCAGAAGTAAAGAAATTATTGCGCGGAAAAAAAATTTTGGTAAAACTACCGATCAGATAAAATTTTTGGTAAAAAAACAATAATTTTTAAATAAAACGAAAATATAAGGTATTTAAACCATTCATCAGTAAATTTTTATAACGGTTTACTGAAAATTCTAATTTTCAAAATTATAGTTTTTATTACCTCACAATTAGTAAAAATAGCAAACTGAAGAGTAAATTGAACCAAATAAATGTTTTTTTTAAATATAAAATGCTCTTAAGTATCGTAATAAATTAACCAAATTTTAATACACATTGCGAAACCAAATTTTATTTTTAATTTTGCCAAAATCATTACCAAAGCAGTTCGGTAAAAATTGCCGAGCTTTCAGGAGTTCCCACAAAGCCAGAAACACGGTAAATTTTACCATATTCCGGTAGTTTTCTGGTTCTTTCTTTTTTCTCAGTTTGACGAAACATAGTATTTTAATTTTAAAGACTTTCTTTTCTAATAAAACTTATAAGTGACTTTTTTTGTTCTGTTAAAGCGATGGCGTTTTCAACTTATCAACAGATATAATAATGATACATATAAATACACAATTAGGATTTGATACTATGAAAAATTTAAAAAATATTAACTTGACCTCATATTTCTGTTAGCGAAAGAGGATGATATGTAAAAAATATTAATAAAAATTTATTCCAAAACTATTTGTTTTGATTACTTTCTGAATTTCGCCATTCTAGAGCAAGTCTTAAAAGAAAAACAAGCATTTAAAAAACAACATGATGTTTTAAACATACAAAACATCAAATCACTGCATATCACACCATAACTTATCAAACCAACGAAATTTTGTTGCATATTTATTGACATAAGATAGTAAAAATGATAAATAAACACACGTATAATTTTAATTTTCACGTTCAAAGAAATGTTCCATGTTTAAAATAATGTATATAATGCACGCTAGAATAGTTTTTATACAAACTCACGTCTTGCGTTTCACACAAATTATGTACAATCTGACGTAATTAATGGCATTTTTACACTAAGCTATGCTCCATCAAAAATTTTAAAAAATATTTTTTTACAAATTTTGAGTATAATATACGGTAGGCACAATACATACAAATTATTGACTTCACTATTCATTATTGGCTTATTTGAATAATCGTTTCACAAATTTTTGAACAGTATGCAAAATGATTATTACTGTTTAAGCATAGAACTGTTGCTAATTTTAGAGGTTAGTAGCAAAGTATGAACAAAAAATTTGTAAAAAAATCTACAAGAAAAACTTTGAGAAATTTTTTTCTTTAATGTACACCTTATGAATTAAAAAAAAACTGAATTTTTTTCCTTCAAAACTCAAAGGGCAGGCTGAATTTTTTTTTTTTAGCTTGATAGAAATGGGGTCTAAAGTATTCAATAAATATTGTCAGACATTTTAGTTTAGTCCTTTTGTACATGCATTGCTTTTAATTCAAAAATTTTGATACATTTTTAATTTAAATTTTATTATGAAATAACGATTCTTAAAACTTAATAAAAGCGTTTTAATTGATTTTATCATGTTACATTATTTTAATTAAATTCTTGAAATGATAGTTTAATTTATTTTTATCATTTCAAATTTAGTCTACATAAGTTTTGAACTGAGTGCCAGAAATTTTTCAAATTCTTTCTATAATCTTAACTTCAATATTAACTAAAGATATGAATTTTTTTTATTAATTTTCAAATAAAGGAAATAAACTATAAAAATTATTGCTATATTAAACTCTCAAAACTTTCGCCTTTCCCCCCATAATTTTGGCAGTAAATTAATATGCATATCAGTAGTTAGATCATAAAGTCATGATTCAAATCTTATTACATCCAAATCATGGAGTTGCATCCCAAACTTCAATTTCACTAAAATCAATCAGTCCCTGTTTATTTTCTATATACGTTTAAAAAAACAATTATTTTAAATTTGAAAAAAAGCATTTAAATCATTTTAGTTAATTTTGAAAAATTTAAGTAGCATTACAAATAGTAGATGCTTTTGATTAACAACTCGAAATCAAAGTTATTAGAATGTTTTTTTTTTCTCAATATTTGAGGGGAAAAACCCTTTCCGTCTTTCAAGTTGAAATCTTTATCAAAGTAACTTTGAAGTGAACTTTGTAGAGTAACTTTGATAGATATAAATGAAAATCTCCATTACATTAACAAGCACTGCAGCCATTCATTTATAACAATAGCTTTTATAATCAGTTGTATAGTAGTTTTCAATTAAAAAGCAAACAGTGGTTGTTTTTTTAACAGAAAAACACACTTTTTCTCGTATGTTAAAATTCTAATTGTTTTGTAATTATAAATAAATTTTTCTAAAAATCTTAAAAGGACTGTTTTTTAATTAAGAAACTCTCACTAACATCTATTAGCAAAGATAATCAATCTCCAGTAAAAAGTACTCCTTTTTGAAAGAATTTACCCTTAATTTATATATTTTTCTGTCCAATAACTGGATGCAACTCCATAAACCTGTTCGAGGGATCCAAATATACTATTTACATAGATTTTAACATGACATTTGGCGTAGAAACATCAGCTTATTGCTACTTAACATAATAGATTTATGAGATATTGATAACTATTTCAATTGTCATAGTTAAAGAAATGCATTCGTAAATAACACTCACTACCACAGATGTCACTTAAAGCAGAATCCAAAAGATTCTTTTAACTTGGGATTTTAATTGGTGCTCATATGCCAAGCATTACCGGAAGAATGCCCAACTTCACGTATAAGGCTGCCTATTACTTCCACAAATGCACACGCGTTAATTTCTAAAAGTTGAAATAAAGCATTTGACGAGGCAATGCTGAGCACATTTGCACCAAGGGTATGATTCATTCGGAAAGTAGCTGTGGGACACATAATTCACAGAAACATGTTTTTTTAATCACTTAACAATATTTTGATTTTTTTTCTTTTTTGTGGAATAAAGAAATTGTTGGCATTACAATTCTATTGCATCATCTTTAATTTTATTTCAAAGATTAAGAAGGGTTTATCACACACCAATATTCAAATCACAGAGGCCAGCATCTGCAACCACAAACTGGCGAAGAGCACAAGCACTTATGGATGCATTGTTCTTGAAATTGACTCGTTTTCCTCTTTCAGTTTTTTAGACATAGATTGCTCATTGTCTTCAAAGAAGAGGCGTGAAAATATCGTTTCCAAAACTTGAGCTTTGTTTTGATTAAGTTTTGAAAAGGGGAATTTACTGTTTTTTTACATCAGCATCCAGCTATTACTATTACAGGCACTCCTAAAAAGAAACAAGAAAAACAATCGATTAGACATTTCTTAAAATTTGTACAACTTACAAAATATGTTGTATAACAATATTTAATGATAAAGATGTATTGATACATCATATTTTATAGACACTATATTATATTTTTCATACGTCATATTATTTAAAAAGAGGTTTAAGATTGATAATATGAAAATGACAAGTCACTTGAAATATTATTAATAAAAATTATTTTCGGTCCATAAAATAAGGTTTTTGAATCCTGTAAGACATAGCAGTTTGCTGTAATATCTATCTAAATTCAGATAGGACTCAATACTGTATATAAATTGTAACAAATTAGAAAATTTTTCTATAGAAACCCATGGAAACTGATTATAAAATGGAAACATATTATATAATAGTTCCCCCCTCGAAACAGATTATAAAGTATTTCTATTTATACAAAAACAAAACAGCCCGTTGTAGGTTAGGGATGGAATCATGAATGTTACAGTTTCATGATAAAAAGTATAATGGTTTGCAATGTGTTTTAACCCTTTGCGCATCGACCGCTAAACAAGCTGGTACCTACCGATTTGACGCTGGATGGGATTCAAACCGATACTTGCATGTCCTATATTAAGCTAAGGTAATGTAAACCTTTTTCGCTTTTTGAAAATAGGTGATTTTTAATATGTTCAGCTCATATAGCTTAATTAACATCATAGTAAAATAATATGCATTTTTTTTTCTATTAGCGCTAAATATATAGCCTATTTACAAGTGTAAATGAAAAAACAATTATTATAGCATAAGTAATTTTTGTACAAAAATAAAGAAATAATAATAATGCATAAAATAAAGCTTAGCTCTTTTTCTGCTTCTAGTATATGGATACAAATCACCCATTTCCAAAGATTTTGACAACGATAACATTTCAAAATGTGGTAGCAGTTTAGTCACATAAAATGCTCAAAGCTAATATAATTTAAAGAAATTCTAAATATGCAAAACATAGTTTTATTATAAATTTTTCATTTAATTTTAACTGAGCAGAAAAGAACATTAAAAACACTTTAAAATGTAAATCGTAGTGTGATTTTTCACTTATAATCTGATAATTGAGACTAAATAATCATAAGATATCTTTCAGATCAAACTCAGATCTTGAGTAAATAGGAGAATATTGCACAGAGTCTACACTGCTTTCCGTTCCGAAAAAGCGGTGTCAGAAAATACCGTTTTACTAAAAGAGAATCAACTTAAGTAGAAAAACGTGATTCCACACAATGATGAATACTTTATAACACATATTAGAAGAATCAATTTATTTCCCCCCTTTTTTTTTGTCTATTTCTGTGCGGCAGCTTTACTTCAATTACACCGAGCACTGATTTGCATAAACATAGTTGTGAGAATCCATTAGTAGCGAGAGGGGATTACGGAAGGCAAACAAAGTAGCCTCCTATCGAAACTAATGATGGGCATGGGGATAACGCTGCTATTAGCAGGTGCTTATTTAACGTTTCGAATCCCCAGACTATTAACCCTCTGACTTATGAAAGGACATTAGTTAGTGCTCTAAGGGCTAATTATAGTTAATTGGTTGTTAATTTTCCCCGCCATCTCAATTTTTGAATGGTAGTGGTTTTAATTATTTTGTTATTTAATTTTTTGTGGACCGCATATTTTCTCCAAATTAGTACTAAAAGGATCAATTGATTTTGTTCTTATTGATCAGTAATAATTTGTATGATTGGCTGGAATCAGATGAACTAATTGTTGATATGAACTACTAATTCATTACCCTATTTCCAAGCATAGTTTTTTTACCAGCATAAGTTTTTAACAAGCTTAGTTAAGAGACATATGCATTCGTTGTTCGAAAGTAATTATGAAAGTAGGCTTAAATATCTTAATACTTGCAAAACTTTCTTTAAAATATTTAAATGTATGCATATAAATACATTTCAACCGTTTTTAAACTGATAAACTAGATATATTACTTTTATTCCTCAGTCATAGATCCGTTTATAAACATTTCGTATAAAAGAATGTTTATAAATAATCCAAACGTTCTAAAATTTAATACATGTATAAAAATAAAATAAATTATCTGCAAGAGCTTATCTAAAATTTAATTTCTAGAAAATCATTCTTTTTATGCAACTTGTCATTTACTTTGATGGGTTAAATTAATTTTTTAAGGATAACTTAATAATGATAATAGTGTAAAATTATAAATAATCGGATGCGATAATTCGATCCAATTTAATGGATCGAAGACGAATTCGCAGAGCATAATCCACAATCCCTTTAATGAAGATCTTTGCAACTCAATAGTGGTAAAAATAATTATTTGTCGAATTAATTTTCATTGGCAATTTTTTATAAATGACCCAGCTTTTGATTCTTAAAAGGTGATAACTACAAGGAGAAAAAATTATGGTAAAATTACCGTAATGTATGGTATGACATTTTTAGTAAGAAAAACATAATTCTGGTTAATAAATCAAATCATTCTGTATATAAATCATTCATTTTGTAATTTTTTCGTTCATAATTCCTCAAAATTATACTTCTTACTACCAGATATTTTGCATAAAATACTAAGTTGAAAAGTAAATTTATTCGAATAAATAGTGTATATGCCAGGCTCTAAGGTATCATGATAAAATTTCCAAATTTTACCACATTTACCAAATATTAGCACTTATTAAAACTCATATTTTATTGTTAATTTTATCAAACTCATTACCAAGGCGGTAAAAATTACTGTTCTTTCCTGTTCCCATAGAGCCAGAAACACGGTAAAATTTACCAAATTTTACGACCATACTTTTTTTTTCTAGTGTATAAAAATGATGCTCTGAGTGCATGGAAATTTTCATATGATAACTAATATGTCGCCAAGACAAAGAAATATCAGTGATTCGATTTCTTTTTCTTTCATTCGCAATAATAGGGACGTTACTTTTTACAATGAGTGCATACAAGTCCTAAAAACGTAATAAAGCACCATTAAATTTTATTAAAAATGAAGATCTCGACTGTCTGAAAACGCGGGAGAAATTTTAATTAGATGATTTTATGGCGATAAAGCAATTTTCCTCGCCACGGTCTTCTAGATTTATTTTGGCGTACGTTGACAAAATTTTAACTCAACAATCGCTAAGGTTGAAGCTCTTGATACTGTACGGTGAACTCCAGCTTTTCCTGTCTGCAGATTTGTGTTAATCGTTGTTTTGATTTAACGCTTTCATTATGACGATCTGATATGATGGCTCTTATGAAGTTGAGACTCAAACTCTAACAAATGTCTATCCTATCATCTTTAAAAAAAATCATCCTTTGAAATTCTTGAACAAATAATTGATTTTATCCAACTTTAGGTCGAGTTTAAATTGTTCGAAATGTCTACCTTCAATATCATAATAAATTTTTTATGGTAAAAAATTCAAGTTACGAAATCGGGTATTCTTACTTCTGTATGAGCATATTTCTGTCCCAACAGGTGTTGAATTTTATCCCTCAAAATACGTTTTAGTTGCAATCTGTAAAATAATGTCCCAATAATTTAGCCATGAGATCGTTTAAAATATATAGGCTATTTAATTTCATTTTTCTCTTTTGCGTTTTCCCTGTTCTCCTGAAACAAAAATTGACTGCTATAAATATCTCTGAAATAAGTATTTTTTTAATTAAAGTTAATCGCGATCAAAAAAATGTTTCTCAGATAGTTGCTTTATATCCATCAAGTTTCAAGTTAATGCTCCTAAATTTATTATATATATAGTGTAAAATTCAACATAATAATAAGATTGACTCTCTATTACTTTTAAAATGCAATGATTTCGATATGTATGACAGAAGTTGTGATTGAATTGGCATGTTAATTTAGTTAGAGATTAGTCAGCTAGTCATGAAAAAAAAAAGAATTTTGCATTATAATAAAAGTATTACGTTTTTACTTTTTTTTTATATCCATCTCTAAACTTAAAAAACTCAACTAATCCACTATAAAGTTTCACGAAATTTGTATGTGAAAATATTCGGCTTAGTAATAAGATTGTCATTTTATATATTTTGAAAAAATGCAATATTTCTGATATTCCTGACAACTACTATGATTGAACATATAAAAGATCACGTGAACTTACTCAGTTAAAGATTAGCCGACATGTTATGGCGGACAAAAATTATTTTTTAAATCCATCTGCCACGACTGGATATTTTTTCTACATCTAAACCAGTTCAGTTTAAGAACATACGTCACCTAAACTAACTTACCTTGAAGGGACATTAGATAAAAGATTATAAAGTTCTCTCTTAACAAGATAGGTTATTATAAAAAGTTCAACTACGTAGTGGTTGAAAACGGCATAGATCTAGTAACAGATGTTTGACATGTTTTGCAAGAATAAGTTGTTTTAGTTATGGTAGATTAAAATAGCTTTGCAACGATTTTAGCTTTCTAGAATATAAATTGTTGTCTTTCGTGTTGAATATTAGTTAGTAAAGGTATTCGGAAAAACTCTGAATCATTCTAGAAAAATAAATGAGTTTTTATAAATGGGTAAATATAAATAACAAACCACGCAGTTTCTTTTAAAATGTAGTAATGTTTTGTTTTGAACTAAATTAGTTAATATCTGTTTAAAAGCAAATCCATTTTTTAATTCATAATCATACTCTGTAAATAATTCTTCCTTTGTTGTAATTTTGTTGTTAATCGATTTTATGATGTTTTAAGGAAACAATTTATGACTATTTCATTGAAATAACAATAATTCCACTGATAAGATTTCTTAGCAATGGAATCATCTTATTTTTTTCAAATATAATCCAACAGAGCAGCGAAAAAAATCAAATGGTGGGATTTTCTTGTAACCTTCACAAATAGTCAATAATGCACAAAAAAAAGTATTTTTCTTTTTAAAATTGAAGAAGAAATCAAAAAAGTGTTGTAAAAATTGTTCCTCTGTTATAACAGACTATTATTTGTAAGTTTAAGCATATATAACATATAA